GTGCCGTCGTTAACCATTGGCCGTTAAGGCGTATTTTCAAAATACCTATATCTACAGCTGTGGCAATAGGTGTGTGATTGGGTAATATTCCAATTTGCCCACTATTAGTGGATAAAATGATTTCTTCCACTTCTGAATCCCAAACAATTCTATTAGGGGTCAGTACACAAAGTTTTAAATTCATTTATTCAAATCCTTCCCTATTTTTAAATTTCTAAGTTTTTAAGTTAATTGCCTTGGCGGTAACTTCATTGATATTCCCTACCAAATAAAAAGCCTGTTCAGGAAGACCATCTAATTCGCCAGCAAGGATTAAATGAAATCCTCTAATCGTTTCAGCGAGACCTACATATTTACCTGGAGAACCTGTAAATATTTCTGCTACGAAAAAAGGTTGTGATAAGAAACGCTCAATTTTTCGTGCTCTTGCCACGTTTAAACGATCTTCTTCGGATAATTCGTCGAGCCCAAGGATAGCTATAATGTCCTGAAGTTCTTTATAACGTTGTAAAGTTTGCTTGACTCTTTGCGCAGTTTCATAATGTTCCTCACCAATGATCCGAGGTTGCAGCATCATTGACGTTGAATCCAAAGGATCAACTGCTGGATAGATACCTTTAGCAGCTAAACCTCTTGAGAGTACGGTAGTTGCATCTAAATGTGCAAATGTCGTAGCAGGAGCAGGATCAGTCAAATCATCTGCAGGTACATAAACTGCTTGGATCGAGGTTATGGAACCCTCTTTGGTGGAAGTAATTCTTTCTTGTAAAGAACCCATTTCTGTACTCAAGGTCGGTTGATAACCTACAGCAGAAGGCATTCTGCCCAGTAAGGCGGATACTTCTGATCCCGCTTGGACGAAACGAAATATATTGTCAATAAATAGAAGTACATCTTGCCCATTAACATCTCGGAAATATTCCGCCATAGTTAGGGCAGTCAAACCAACTCTCATACGAGCTCCTGGTGGTTCATTCATCTGACCGTAAACTAGGGCCACTTTGGATTCTGCAATATTTTGGTCATTAATTACTCCGGATTCTTTCATTTCCACGTAAAGATCATTTCCTTCGCGAGTACGTTCACCCACTCCGCCAAATACGGATACTCCTCCGTGCGCTTTGGCAATATTGTTAATTAATTCCATAATGAGTACTGTTTTACCCACTCCAGCTCCCCCGAAGAGTCCTATTTTTCCTCCACAGCGATAGGGGGCTAAAAGATCTACTACTTTAATTCCTGTTTCAAAAATAGATAATTTTGTATCTAACTCTATAAAGGCGGGCGCAGATCTATGAATAGGAGATTTTTTATTAGTATTGACAGGCCCTAAATTATCAACAGGGTGTCCGAGCACGTTGAAAATTCGTCCCAGAGTTGATCCACCGACCGGGACACTTATAGGAGCTCCCGTATCAATCACTTCCATCCCTCTCATTAGACCATCTGTATCACTCATAGCTACAGCTCGAACTCTATTATTTCCCAATAATTGTTGAACCTCACAAGTCACGTTCGTTTGTTTACTGTCTCGCCCTTGAACTACTAGAGCATTATAAATATAAGGCATCTTACCAGGGCGAAAAGCTACATCTAGTACCGGACCAATTATTTGGACGATATGCCCTATATTTTTTTTTTCAATTGAGGAAACCTCAGAACCAGAAGTCGTAGGAGTGCTTCCCATAAAAAAAAAATTTAAAAAACTTTTCAAATTACAAATCACTGCCCGCAAGCGGAAGATTAATTCAATAAATGTAATAAGAAAAAAGGGGGGATTTTCTTGGTATTTTTTTATATTATCCAGTATCCAATAAATTAAAATTTAATAAATTTAATTTTTGTTGAATTAAGGAACTGAAATAGTTAAATTATTTTAAAGTGGAGGAATAAAAATATTGGGAAAGTATTTCAAAAGTATTTCATTAGAATTTGTTATTTCTATCCCATTAGTTTTTTTGATTTTTTTATTAGGTTAGAGAGGTAGTGTAAAAAAAGTGAAATTGAAAAACTGGGTTGCACTAGATATACAAAAGAGTATAAAATATTGATGCATTTGAAAAATTACTCAAATGCTTTGAGTTTAAAAATAAAAAATTATGATTTAGTTGATAATAGATAATATTGAGTACTCGGGAGGAATTTTGTGAACGATTCCGACCAAAAGCAAAATTAACGCAGAATTTAGGTCGAGTAGATCATTTTGTTGTCAGAATTATTAATTTATGAGTTATAAGGAGGAATATATGTCACCACAAACAGAGACTAAAGCACGTGTTGGATTCAAAGCGGGTGTTAAAGATTACAAATTGACTTATTATACTCCTCATTACGAAACCAAAGATACTGATATCTTGGCAGCATTTCGAGTCACTCCTCAGCCTGGAGTTCCCCCTGAAGAAGCGGGGGCCGCGGTAGCTGCGGAATCTTCTACTGGAACATGGACAACCGTGTGGACCGATGGACTTACCAGCCTTGATCGGTACAAGGGCCGATGCTATCGCATTGAGCGTGTTATTGGAGAAAAAGATCAATATATTGCTTATGTAGCTTACCCTTTAGACCTTTTTGAAGAAGGTTCTGTTACGAACATGTTTACTTCGATTGTAGGTAATGTATTTGGTTTTAAAGCACTCCGCGCTTTACGTCTCGAAGATCTTCGAATACCTCCAGCTTATACTAAAACTTTTCAAGGTCCGCCTCACGGCATCCAAGTTGAGAGAGATAAATTGAACAAGTATGGGCGTCCTCTCCTGGGATGTACTATTAAACCCAAATTGGGGTTATCCGCTAAAAACTACGGTCGAGCGGTTTATGAATGTCTTCGTGGTGGACTTGATTTTACCAAAGATGATGAGAATGTAAACTCACAACCCTTTATGCGTTGGAGAGACCGTTTCTTATTTTGTGCCGAAGCAATTTATAAATCCCAGGCTGAGACAGGTGAAATAAAAGGACATTACTTGAATGCTACTGCAGGTACATGCGAAGAAATGCTAAAAAGAGCTTTCTTTGCTAAAGAATTGGGAGTTCCTATTATAATGCATGACTACTTAACAGGGGGATTCACTGCAAATACTTCTTTGGCTCATTATTGCCGTGATAATGGTCTCCTTCTTCACATCCACCGTGCAATGCATGCAGTTATTGATAGACAAAAAACTCATGGTATACACTTCCGCGTACTAGCGAAAGCGTTACGGCTATCCGGTGGAGATCATATTCACGCGGGTACTGTAGTAGGTAAACTAGAAGGGGAAAGAGAGATGACTTTGGGCTTTGTTGACTTATTACGCGATGATTTTGTTGAACAAGACCGAAGTCGTGGTATTTATTTCACTCAAGATTGGGTTTCTTTACCCGGTGTTATGCCTGTGGCTTCTGGGGGTATTCACGTTTGGCATATGCCTGCTCTAACCGAGATATTTGGGGATGATTCCGTACTACAGTTTGGGGGAGGAACTTTAGGTCACCCTTGGGGTAATGCGCCTGGTGCCGTAGCGAATCGAGTCGCTCTCGAAGCATGTGTACAAGCTCGTAACGAAGGACATGATCTTGCTCAGGAAGGCAATGAAATTCTTCGACAGGCTAGTAAATGGAGCCCTGAACTAGCTGCTGCTTGTGAGGTATGGAAGGAGATTCAATTTGACTTTAAACCAGTGGATACCTTAGATCCAAATGAGAAGAAAGAAAGATATACTAAGGAGGCTCCTGCAGGAGATAAATACAGATAACTTATTCGGGAATGGGTAGAGGGAATTCAAGCAATTACTAACCCCCTTCTCTTCTGAATTGCAATTAAATTCGGCCCAATCTTTTACTAAAATCACTCAAATACTAAAAAAAGTAAACAGATTGAGCCGGATATCTATACATATTAATGAACTTCTTATTTATATTTGGGTATAGGTAGGCAAGAACAAATAGTTAAATTTGGTAATTGGGGTAGAGTTATATAAAAGGCAATTCCATTTTTGGATACTCATACCCATTATTTTAGGCAATAGCCTTAATGCTTGGGTTTCTCTTTTTATTCTGATAGTTGTTCAAAAAGAACTTGTGTTTTTTTATTTTGAGTTTAGGAATATTTTATATCAAACGACTATTCCATGTATTGCTATTTTATTTTCTATTGTATTTTCATGCATTGTATTTTCATGCAAAAAACAAGGGGCAAAAATTATGGAAATGTGGGGGGATAATTCATTGGATAAGAAATTTGAACGTGGATGGGGGCTAACTCAATCAATGGATGGTGTTAGCCGTCCTATTGAAGAAAATAGCAGGCAAAATGAAGATACGAAGAAGCAAGATATGTTTGAAAACATTCAGACTTGGGAGGATCGTGACAATTACGGTTGCAGTAATGTTGATTCTGTCTTCGAGTTAAACTATAGTGAAAGTGTCATCAAAGATGACACTTTTCTAGTTAGCGATAGTACTGGAAATAATTATTGCATCTATTTTAATATTGAAAATTATATTTTTGAAACAAAAAATCCTCACTCTTTCTTTAGTGAACCTTTTTATCTTTCTTCGAATTCAAGCAATCTCACTCAAATGAATGAAGTGAGTAACGAATCTAACTCTCAGATTGAGATTGCTCAGTCCGTTGAAAATTCTATTAAGTTGCAAATAGAGCGAACTACTATCACTACTAATGAAAATGATAGTACTGACAGTTTCAGTAATGAGTCCGTTGTTGATGGTGAAAGCTGCAATAGGAGCGAAGTCGAGAGTTCAAGTAGACAAACTCACATTGGGAGAGAATATCCTAAATTTAACCATTTGTGGCTTCTATGCGAAAATTGTGATACATTATATTATAAAAAACTTATTAAATTAAAACAGTATATTTGTGAAGAATGTGGAGATTATTTGCAACTGAGTAGTTCAGATAGAATTGATTTTTTGATCGATGAGAAAACGTGGGCTCCTTTCGATGAAGACATTCTTTCTCGGGACCCCATTCAATTTGATGAAGACTCTTCTGAAGAATCATCGGAATACCCTTATGAAGACTTTTCAGAAGACTCTTCTGAAGAATCGTTGGAATACCCTTATGAAGACTTTTCAGAAGACTCTTCTGAAGAATCGTCGGAATACCCTTATAAAGACCCTTCTAAATACTTTTATCAAGTATTTTCTAATTATGAAAACTCTTATGAAGAGGATCTTGATTTTTATCAAATAGAAACAGGCTTAACCGAAGCTGTTCAAACAGGTCTAGGCCAAGTCAACGGTATTACTGTAGCAATAGGGGTTATGGATTTTAAGTTTATGGGGGGTAGTATGGGATCCGTAGTCGGAGAGAAAATAACCCGTTTAATTGAGTACGCTACAGAAAATTTTTTGCCTCTGATTATAGTGTCGGCGTCCGGGGTGTGCGCGAATGCAAGAAGGAAGTTTAAGTTTGATGCAAATGGCTAAAATATCATCTGCTTTATACAATTATCAATCGAAGAAAAGATTATTTTATATATCAATCCTTACATCTCCTACAGCTGGTGGAGTAACAGCGAGTTTCGGTATGTTAGGGGATATTATCATTGTTGAACCTAATGCTTACATTGCATTTGCAGGCAAAAGAGTAATTGAACAAACATTAAATCAAACCATACCTGACGAGGCACAAGAAGCTGAATTTTTATTTGAGAAGGGTTCATTTGACTTAATTGTACCACGTCATCTTCTAAAAAGCGTTATTAGTGAGTTATTTACGTTTCATGACCGGGGCACTTTCTTTCATTCAAAGTTCAAATTCATTTGAACTTTGAGTGAAAGAAAATAATTATATTGATTTTAGATTGATATAAATAGTTAGATAAAAACTCACAGATACAAATAAATATAGTAAAAAAAATACCTTTTCTATGAGTGACTTTCCGTCTCTTTTTATACCATTAGTAGGCTTAGTATTGCCGGCAATTGCAACGTTTTATTTATTTATTACTGTTCAAGAAAAATAAAAATTTTTAGATATTTTATATATTGAGATCCTCCCTTTTTTGTAAGTTGCTTTTTTTTGTATCATAACAGGAAGATCTGTGGAATCATATTGACTTAAGGCGTTATTTTTTTCTATCTAACCAAGTTTATGAATTACCCCTAAAGGTTTACATCAAACTAGTGCTAGATTCTCATCAAACAAATATTCGTTTGATGAGAATTACTTTTGAAATAGCAAAGTTCCTAATTAATGGTTTTTTTCTTAATTCCAATAAAATAAAATAAAATCGGATGTAATATGAGTTGGCAATCAAAACATATATGGATCGAACTTAGACCTGGGTCTAGAAAAATAAGTAATTTAGGTTGGGCTTTTACTCTTTTTTTAGGTTCATTGGGATTCTTATTAGTAGGAACTTCCAGTTATCTTGGTATAAATTGGATATCCTTTTTTTCAGCCCAGCAAATTCTTTTTTTCCCACAAGGAATAGTCATGTCATTCTACGGAATTGCGGGTCTTTTTATTAGCTCGTATTTGTGGTGTACTATTTTATGGAATGTTGGTAGTGGTTATGATCAATTCGATAGAAAAAGGGGAATTTTTTGTATTTTTCGTTGGGGATTCCCTGGAATAAATCGGCGCATTTTCCTCCGATTCAATATAAAAGATATAAGGTCTATTCGAATAGAAGTGAAAGAAGGTATTTATGCTCGTCGTGTCCTTTATATGGACATCCGAGGCCAGAGGGCTATTCCTTTGACTCGTACTAATGAGAATTTCACCCCGGGAGAAATTGAAAAAAAAGCTTCAGAATTGGCCTATTTTTTGCGTGTACCGATTGAAGTATTTTGAGAAGGGGGCTACACCTCTTTTCAGTTACTTTTTTTCTATTTTTATATATTTTCTATTTATTTTTCCAATTGCATTTTTTACTAAGACTCAGGAATACTAATTAGCCAATTGACCAGGCAGTTTTTTATTAGCACAAGCAAATCCCCTAGGAAGTTTAAGTATTCTATTGCTTACTATTTCATTCTAAATATTTAAATATCTAAACATTCAGTAATTTTTTTCTTTTTATTTTAATTGAAAGATTTGTATCGGATATCTGAATTTCATCTGTATTCTTTCTAGATTCAAAGACTGGCCAAAAAATCACAACAAAAATCAATACATACTTTAATATACCTTATACCTTGTAAAAGTAAAAACTCATATATGGTGGGTTCATGAAAAATAAAAATAAAGTATTCACTCCTCTTTTATATCTTGCATTTGTAGTCTTTTTGCCCTGGTGGATTTATTTCTTATTGAATAAATGTCTGGGATCTTGGATTACTAATTGGTGGACTACTAGGCAATCCGAAAGTTTCTTCAATAATATTAATGAAAAGAGTCTTCTGGAAAAATTTATTGAATTCGAGGAATTTCTATTATTGGACGAAATAGTTAAAAAAGACGTGGAGACACACCCACAAGAATTTATTATAGGAATCCATAAACAAGCAATTCAATTAATAAAGATACAAAAATATAGTGATATCCATCTTATTTTTCGTTTAGCGACAAATCTAATCTGTTTTTTTATTCTAAGTGTTTCTGCTATTTTGCGTAATGAAAACCTAAGTCTTCTGAACTCTTGGGCTCGGGAATTCTTATATAACTTAAGCGACACAATCAAAGTATTTTGCATTCTCTTATTAACTGATTTATGTATCGGATTCCATTCACCCCGCGGTTGGGAATTTATAATTACCTTTATTTCTAAAGATTTGGGATTTTGTGATAATGATTTAATTATCTCTGGTCTTGTTTGCACCTTTCCAGTCATTCTAGATACAATTTTTAAATATTGGGTTTTCCGTTATTTAAATCGTGTTTCTCCGTCACTTGTAGTTCTTTATCATTCATTGAATGAATGATTGAAGACTCTATGGGATTCATAATTCAATTTGAAGATTAATTTTTTTCTGTTTTTCTATTGTAAATAAGCGAAGCATTAAAAATATTACTTCATTACTTATTTTATAGAACTATTTTTTTTATATTTTATTCCATCAAATAGCAGAATCCTGGGTAGCAAACTATACTAGTGACCTACCCCATTTTATTGTATCAATTTTGCAATCAACGATTCGACTATGCAAACTCGAAATCATTTTCTTTGGATAAATAAACAGATTACTCGATTGATTTCCGCATTGATCATGTTATATATCATAACTCTGACATCCATTTCAAATGCATATCCTATTTTTGCACAGCAGAGTTATGAAAATCCACGAGAAGTAACTGGCCGTATTGTATGTGCCAATTGCCATTTAGCTAATAAGCCCGTGGAGGTTGAGGTACCGCAAGCGGTACTTCCAGATACTGTATTTGAAGCAGTAGTGCAAATTCCTTATGATATGCAACTTAAACAAGTTCTTTCCAATGGTAAAAAAGGGGGGTTGAATGTGGGGGCTGTTCTTATTTTACCGGATGGTTTTGAATTAGCCCCTACAGATCGGCTTTCTCCCGAGATGAAAGAAAAAATAGGCAATTTGTCTTTTCAGAGCTATAGACCCTCGAAAAAAAATATTGTTGTGGTGGGCCCTGTTCCTGGTCAGAAATATAGTAAAATAACCTTTCCCATTCTATCTCCCGATCCTGCTACTAATAAAGATGCTCATTTCTTAAAATATCCTATATATGTGGGTGGAAACAGGGGAAGAGGCCAAATTTATCCCGACGGTAGCAAGAGTAACAATACTGTTTATAATGCTACAGCAACAGGTAGAGTTAGCAAAATAATAAGAAAAGAAAAAGGGGGTTATGAGCTAACCATAACGGATCCATTGGATAGTCGTCAAGTGATCTATATTATCCCTCCTGGACCAGAACTTCTTGTTTCAGAAGGGGAAGATATCAAATTTGATCAACCATTAACGAATAATCCTAATGTGGGGGGATTCGGTCAGGGAGACGCGGAAATAGTACTTCAAGATCCATTACGTGTCCAAGGACTTTTGTTATTTTTGGCGTCTGTTCTTGTGGCACAAATATTTTTGGTTCTGAAAAAAAAACAGTTTGAAAAAGTTCAATTGTCCGAAATGAATTTATAGACTTGTAGCATTAGCAATCTAAAAAGAGACGATTCAGTGTTATCCATAATAGACGATTCAGTGTTATCCATAATATATAATTAAATTAAAGTCAAATTCTCAAAAACCTTTAATATCTTTATACTATTATACTATATTTGCCAAATTTTATACTAACTGCTGGGAATTTCCGGTCATAGATCATAGTATGTCTATTTTTACTTTTATATTTTAAAGAAGATTTTTGGCATAACTCTCTATTTCATAGTTTTCTATTTCAAATTAAAGTAAAAATTAAAGTAAATTAGAATAGATTTTGCGTCTTCCTCTTTTTACTTTATCAATACAGGAAAAAAGAGAAAGTAAGGGGAGGAGGTATATATAATATTGGTTCAAGATTTAGAGTATTGGTTTCTAGTTTTGAGGCGTATTTTTATACCTCATTTTGAAAATGAAGAAAAAAGATTTTATATATTCTATTATTATAATTATATAATATATAATAATAGAATATATAAAATGAAATGATCGAACTTAAGATCTATATTTTTTATAGCAGCCTAGCACTTTATTCTTTGTACTTAAAGTACTCAAATGAAAATATCAATCTATACGGTAATAGAGACCAGGCCTTCTGAATAAATCACTGAGATTTATAGAAAAAAACTTTTTTTATTTTGTGAATAAAAGAGTCTTCAGAACTCAACGTGATTTAAAAGCAAATCACGTTGAGTTCTGAAGACTCTTTTATACCTCGAACTTAATTGATCCGATTACTACAGGGATGAACCCAATCCAGAATATGAACCATAAAAGAAAATACCTATTAAACCTATTACAACAATACCTGTTAGAGTACCTATTATCCAAAGAGGAATCCTTCCAGTAGTATGGGTCATTGATCCCACTTACCCCTCACACTTCATAACGTGGTCATGCTAGAGACATAAACAGTCATGGATAATTATAATATGAGATCCTTCCGATTGGGCTAAGAGAATGCCTATCGCTTTGAGGTATTCTCTTTTATTAATCCTAATTGAAGAAATAATTTGAAAATAAAACAGCAAGTACAAAAATAAGTAATAATCCCCAGTACAGACTGGTACGATTTAATTCAACGTTTTGCTCGTTTGGATTTGATTGTGTCATAGCTCTATAATTCGGAGTAATTTGATCATTCAATTTATCGTTGAATAAACTGCATTGCGGAAATTGAGCCCAAAAAAAAGACAGTAGGTACAGCGAGGCCATGAACAGCTAACCATCGTACTGTAAAAATTGGATAGGTTCGATCTATAGTCATTGGGACCTCCTACGAAAACGATCTAGGAAATTAATAGAGTTGTTCCAAAGGATCAAAACGGCCAGTTATTAATGGAATTCCTTGCCGGTTCTCTGTAAAGTACTCGTTTGGCCGTGGACTTCCAAACACATCGTAAGCTAAACCGGTGCTGACGAATAACCAGCCCGCAATGAATAGAGAGGGTATAGTA